AAAAAAAAGAACTTCCGGGAAGGGAGGGAGGGAGGGGATGGTAGGGGGAAAACAATGGAGGGGCTAACAATGTTCAAGAGGAAGTGTACTCATTACCTCACTCATGTAACTGTAACCCTCTGTATAGTATCTTTACAATAAAAAATTAAAAAAAAAAACTATAGTGCAGAATTAATTGAAGGTAGTTAGACTGAAAGTCTAATCATAAAAAGAGTAGTATTTTCCTTTAATGTTCTAGTTTTTAATATACTCTTAAAATATTAATTTACTCTACAGTAATACAATATCTTCAAACTTATTATCTATGATCATATATTTGTAAAGTTTCATAAATTATCAAAATCAGTATTAGGAGATTAATTCTGGTTTGCAGTTACATAGTTTATTAGCTTCATCACTCTACCCTTATTATTCCTTCATCTTTTCTCTCCTACTCCTTCATTTCCTCTATTTTAAACTTTCACAAAGTCCTTAATTCTTACTGAAGAAATTAGCAATTCTCATGGGGAAAACAAGGCCACATATAGCTGTGCATATGTCTATAGGGAGAAAGGAATAGAGGATGCCCAATGACAGAACATCTTAAAAGTATACAAATATGTATATATGGAAAGGAACAGTATCTCTCTATACACAGTAGTTTTACAATAAAAAAGTATTTTAAAAAAGAACAGTATCTGCAGAACTTCCAGTTTTCAATTTTCTCATGGTATGAAGAGTACTAAAAGGATCAGACTAAAACAGAAAAAAAATCTTCCATATTTTTATTACTATTATCCCTTCACAGATGGGTCTCCAAATTACTATAAGATTATGTCAGTCATTTGGTAATTATTATGTATATTTTAATATATTAGCAAGGATTTACTAATTAAATTTTGTAGCTTGAGTACAATGATCCTGAATTTCAAAAATAAAGTAATTCAAGACCATTTGCAAAGGAAGCCTACTCAGTATCTATGTATCAATCAATCTATCCAAACACATATATTTATAAACTTGCTTTCTTTCTCTCACCTCTTTCCTATCCCTCCCTCTCTCCCTTTCTTCTCCTCTCTCCCTATCACCCCCTTCTACCTCCCCTGAACAGGAATGTGCTCTGATCCAAAAGATCCCAATCTCTGGACCAGAAATTTTGCTCTGTTTTGAGTTCAAAAAGATGAGCTAAACTAATAATGATCTCTCTTTGAATTAATACCAAGGAATGTGATAGTTAGAAGAAAAAGCTGAAAGGTTTTAGTGATGAGTTAGGCTGTAACAGGGCACATATAAAAGAGAGTTATGAATTATTACATCAGAAAAGTGTTTTAAAAAATAGTATGTAGGAGCAGAGTGGTGGCTCATACCCATATTCCCAGCTACAGAATAAGTGAAGGAGGAGCACATGTTGAAGGTCAAATGGAGCAAAGTCAACAAACCCCTAGGTCAAACTAAAATAAGCTAAAGGGCAAAGTAGGTGACTCAACTGGCAGAGTACTTGTCTGGCTTATAGGGGACCCTGAGTTTAATCACTATGCCACAAACACACACACACACACACACACATGCACGCACACATAGTGTAGGAACTAGATGTGGTAGTTCACACTTATAATCCAGCCTTCAGGAAGCTAAAGAAGGAAGATCTCAAGATTAGAATTGTAAATAAAGCAGACAATAAACAAATACAGACACTTGTAGAAATTAAGGGAGAGCACATGTTGAAAAGCCAAAAGAAGGGAATCAAAGAAGAAAGGATAGCAACTGCACAAGAACAAAACCAGTAGAAGAAAAACAGATTTTATCACATGTGTAAGGATTAAATACTGTTTCACAAAACTTTTGCTTCAGTTTTTACAGATATGCACATACATTGTGAGTATACTGGATTACAATTTAAAATCTATGTTGTAACTATGGATTCAGTTTCTAGAATATCATCAATATATAATCCATGAACATAAATTTTAAATTATTTTCCAGAAGAAAGAAACCAAACTCTGAGTTTTTTGCTTTTCTTGGTGTTTTGCCATTAGTTTCTTAGGTATCAATAGCTATAGGTTAAATATGGTTATTTTCACTAGGTATAATGGTGCAAGCCTGTGAGAGGATCATGAGTTCAAGGAACTAGTGAATTAAAGGTAAGCATGAGCTATACAGGCTAAAAACAAAAGAAAAATAAAACTATTTCCTTATTCCTACACTATAAATTCCTTGACCAAAACTATTCTCATTTTGGAAGAAATCTGACTCTCTGCTATTAGTACTGAAAAAAATACCAATTTTTATTTGTATGAATTTATGTAGATGATTATGCCAAGTGTGTATATATACATAAGCATAACAAAACTATTTAACCACAAAAATCTTCATTTATACGTATAGCTTATGAAGATCTTAAACACTTATAGATTTATTAAACTAAAAAGTCTCAATTCACCTTGCCTATTAGAAAATATTCACAAAAAGGAAAAGTCAGTACTGCTTAAAAACTGTTCCAAGCTGGGAGCTAGTGGCTAACACCTGTAATCCTAGCTACTCAGGAGGCTGAGAGCTGAGGATCAGAGTTCAAAGACTAGGCAGGAAAAGTCCATGAAACTTTTATCTCCAATAAAGTACTCAGAAAAAGCCAGAAGTAGCACTGTGGTTCAAGTGGTAGAGTGCTAGCCATAAGCACAGAGCAGCATAGGGACAGAGTCCAGTTCCTGAGTTCAAGCCCCTAGACTGGGGCTTGAAAAAAAAATATTCAAACAGGGTTGGGAACTGTGACTCATGCCTTATAATACTAGCTACTCAGAAGGTACAGATCAGGAGGATCCTGGTTTGAAGCCAAGCAGTGCAAAAATAAGTTTGTGAGAACCCATCTAATCCAATACAAAAACGGCTTACAATGGTGCAAGCTATGTGAAAAATGTACACATTAAGAAGATCAGACCAGGCCAATGCAAGCCAAAAGCAAGACCCTATTTGAAAAATAACAAAAACAAAAAGAGCTGGAGGACATAAGTGGAAGAATCCCTGATTTGTCTTTTATATATATTAATTGGGGAAGGGAAGGGGAACAACAAAATGGTGAGACAAAGGACAAAGGGTGAACCAATGCAACAGCAACACTCAGACAATATGTTGAAAATAAACTTTACAACTTGGGGGGGGGTGTGAGAGAGAGGAAAAGTGGGAGAAAAATGAGGGAGGGGTTAAAATGTTCAACAAGAAATATACTCATTATCTTACATATGTAGCTTTATCCCCTCTGTACATTACTTTGATAATAAAATTAAATTTAATAAAAGAAAACAAAAGAAAAACAGGACTAGAGATACAGTTCAGTGGTAGAGTATTTGTTAAGCCAACACAAGCCCTTAGATTTGATCTGCAGCACTGAGGGGAAAAAGTTCAAAATAAAGATATCACAAATTATGTTCATATATGCATTTTCAGCCTATCCAAATAAGTAAAGTAGCAGAAAATTTGTGTCAGTTTGCCATGACCAGCTGCCTGGGTCAAAGGAATATTAGTATTAATTTCTCTAGATGGCAGAACTAAGACTAATTAGAGAAAATTACAAGAAATATTTCATCTGATTACAAAGAAATAACCTTGTAGTAATCATATATGGTCTGCAAGCTCCAATATATGGTAATGAGTTCCTTTTTTTTAGGTATTTTAATATGTGGTCATTAACCCTTGACTAAAATTATGTCATGAAGATTAACAACACTTGGTTTTAACAAATCACAACTGTTGATGATAACAAGTACAAACATTTGCCCAATTATTTGTTGTTCAGGTAAGCCCACTTTTCAGGAGCACAAAGGCTGAAAAGGCCTTTCATTTTAATGGCACTAAGAAGGAAGAATGCTCCGCTAGCTAGACAAGGGGGCATAAAAATTCAGTTTTCTGGCTAAATCTCTGCCAGTGGTGCAACTCTATTTGTTAAACTCTGATGAAAGACCATAATTAGGACCCAATATCTTTTGAAGTTTTTATGTCTCAGTGTCCCTCAAATACTTCCTTATACTTGCAATTTTCAAAACTCCAAAACGCTATGTTTTGCCTTATATAAAATCACATTCATGACTGATAGGCTGTACAGGCAGGTAAAGAGAAAGGGATTTTTAAAAAACTTATTTACCTTTTTATATTCAATATAATGGGTTATCTTCATCTGACCTATCTAGGCAGCTCTGTCTACATTTCCATGGCTCACTGTACACTAGAAAGAGCATTTTAACTCATTACTGTGGTCACATACTTAAAAGGTTTCCAATGGGGCTGGGAAGGTGGCTCAGTGGTAGAGCACTTGCCTTGCATGTCTGAGGCCCTGGGTTTGATTCCTCAGCACCACATAAGCAAAAAGGAAAAAAGCCAGAAGTGGCGCTGTGGCTCAAGTGGTAGAGCGCTAGCCTTGAGCTGAAGAGCTGAGGGATAGCACCCAGACCCAGAGTTCAGGCCCCACGACCGGACCCAAAAAAAAAAAAAAGTTTCCAACAAAAGACTGAACCCAAAGATGCTAAGAATTGTTTTACTTATGTGTAAACCCCAGCAATTCACCCAATGCTCAGCACATAAACAAGCACCTAAAAAATATACAGCATCCCAATAAAACTTTAAAAAATCACTGCTGATGTTACTAATTCAAAAAACAAAACCTGACACAGGTGTGTAAAACTAATATTTACAAATCATTATTAGAAAGAACAAAATACGCAGTGCCCATTACTACTAAACATAAAAATCTGTTTACTAAATAAGGAACTTTATACTTACTGTATTTCTTATAACATTTCTAATTCACAAAATAAATGTCACTAACTAAAAAGAATCAGAAAATATTTCTGTCTAAAGTTAAGATTCTTGCTGAGTGCTAGTTGAATATAAGCCTAGCTATGCCAGGCGCTGGTGGCTCACGCCTGTAATCCTAGCTACTCAGGAGGCTGAGATCTGAGGATCGCGTTCAAAGCCAGCCCGGGCAGGAGAGACCGTGAGACTCCTATCTCCAATAAACCACCAGAAAACCGGAAGTGGCGCTGTAGCTCAAGTGGTAGAGCGCTCGCCTTGAGCTGAAGAGCTGAGGGACAGCGCCCAGGCCCAGAGTTCAAGCCCCACGACCAACCAAAAAAAAAAGAAAGCCTAACTATTACAGCAGCTTGAGATCTGAGGACTCCATTTCAAAACCAGCCCAGGAAGTAAAGTTCATGAGACTCTTCCCTCCAATTAACCACCAAAAATCCAGAAGTAGAACTGTGACCCAAGTGGTTAAGTGCTAGTCTTGAGCAAAGACATTCAAGCACAAAGCCCAGGCTCTGAGTTCAAACCAACATAAAAAAAAAAAATTTAAGTCAAAGTTTTTGCTATTTTTATACCAAATACCAACCCCTGAAAATGTGTTAATCTTTATTGGTATTCCTTAAAGAAATATAGTAAATATACTTTACTAAGGGCAAATAATCAAGGCAAGATTTTTTTAAAGAAATGCTTAAAACATCATAGGATTCAAATTAACTGTATTTAAACAATCAGTACATTTTAATCAAACAAAGATACTGCATTCACTTAAAAAATATGTTACAACTGTACATTTGGTACTTTAAAGAAAAGATATAACATACCTAAAAGAAGTAATTCTGATAACTTGACAAAATTATAAAAGTATACTTTAAAAATATAACTACATCTGCATTTAGTTAAGGTGCTTAAGATTGTCATTACCATATCCAGTAAATGCATATCACTGTTCTTCACATTTCGACCTGGACTTAATAACATTCCAAAACATCTGAAAATAATGAGAAGAAAAAAGGAGAAATCAGGTATTAAGAATACAAAAAAAGCCTAGTTTATAATAGTCATACAATCTGAGCTTTGTACTTATAAATAGCTTTTTGAGAGGAACACCAGAAATAAAAATTCCTCAAGATATACAATAAAGTCACATAAAAATAATGAACTCATAAAAAATCTCAAAATCTTTATTTTACACATAAAGAATTACAGAATCAGAAACTACCCTAAAAATGGATACAAACTGTATAGTAGTGAGATATAGATCAGTTTCTAGGGAAATAAGAGATTTTAGTTGCCTTGAAACTGCTATGGTCAAGACGGATTAAGCCAGTTGAAAAACAAAAGTAAGTTTTTGAAAATAACAAAGCACTGTATTTCTTTGCAGACTATCAGAATCCCCTGACCCTCAACAGTCATATTCACTGAATAGCATTTAATACTATATTCTCCGTTTTGTTTATAAATTAGAGACTTCATTATTAAATGTGCTCTTATACTAGTGAGGATTTTAACCAAAATATCATTCACATACTCTTATCTACATACTGTATGTAGATAATGCTAGAAAAGCTTCAGGAATCCTACCAACACTACTGCTCTTGTAAAGGATTTTCATAAGCTCTAAAATGCAATTAAACTAAAATTTTTATATTTTCTAGGCTACTGTTAACTAACATTTACAGGTAAGGAAAGTCTAGAGTTAAACAATTCACTCAAATTCATATTCTTATTAAACAGATCTTTAATTCAAGCAACGTAAATCTATCAGGACATCCATCTTCCAACAAGGTATACCATTTAATAGGGTTTTCAATCTATCTTCCCAAAATGTGATATGCTATGAAGTGTCTTAGAGAAGAGATAGACAATGTAACTAAATTAAACAAAGATTTTTGGTTTGTTTTTTTTTTTTAATTTTCAAACTAGTGGCAGTCATCCAGTATCTGGTTCTTCTTGTTTTCCAACCATCTAGTTTCCTAGAAGCATGGTCTTTTCCCACATGAAAAAGTAAGTGATTGGTTCTAACCAAATGTGAGTTTAAAAAGTTGTTTAAAAAAAAAATACTTCCTGTAACTACCTGAGGATGCCTTATTCAATGTTCCCTTGTGGTATCCAAAAGAAATAATGAATATAGTAAAAAAAAAAAAGTTGATAAACTATAAGGATAATTTTGAAAATGTATCCTATGTCAATGGAAAAATGTAACCTAGTACACAGAAATTACTATATTCTAATATTGATAATTTTAATGATTATTCCATACTGCAGACAATGAATAGTCTGTACAAATTAATAATCGATCACACACTTCACTGTACTATTTCTTCTATTTCATCTACTCTTGTCTTAAACTCTTGCTAAGTAACAATAAAAGATTGAATTTTTCACATATGAAAACTGGTCTCAACCTTGAAAATGAGGAAAGATATTTCATACTTTCTTATAATATTGTGCTCCACCTTGCACTGCTCATAGATTTTTAAAGAAAATTTTATCTATCAAAAGGATTTTTTTACATTACGAAACTACTATTCTCATTGTAATAAATTAATAAATATCAAAGTAGTATACGTTAAAAATTAATTTTGTTACTTTTCTCAGGTTCTTTGTTTCATACAATTTCTTAAACACTTCTGGGTAAATGGTTAAGTATATTTTTTACCAATGTAATCCATTGCTAGGAGCTGTGGGAACCATCCTAGCTGCAGGAGATTTGACAATGTGTTTGAAGTATGAATGATAATAGTGGAAAACCCTGGTTGAATGGGGTTTTTTTTCATCCTGTGTCTAAAAACACAGGATTATGACTGTTTGATCTTTATATTGATTCTTGTCAAAAGACAGAGTTCCTATATGTATTTATCTTAGTGAGGACATTCCTAAATGCCTTGCCAAAACTGCTTAAGTGCTTCCTGATTTTTTTTTAATCTCCTGTACCTTGGAATGTCTATTTTCCTATAACTCCTCTTAAGTATGTCCTGGGATAATTTGAATTTATAATAGCAGAGGTTAGTAGAGAGGTTAAGCAGAGCTTAACACTATGTCAGTTAAACTCATTCCTCACCCCAAGGTGGTAATTGGAGTAGTAATTGGAATATTAATTATTTAATAAACAATATTCTGAGATATCACTGAATTTCTTCATCAATCACTCTGGAATCTGCTGGTCAGAACCAACAAAGAGTCTTAAAGCTTTGGATTTTCCATAAATGAAAATACTCGTCACCATAATTTGATACAGAACTCCTTTCCTAGAGTTCCAACCGGAAGTGAAATCTTAGAAAGCACGTAGCCCTTCCTGACATGTTTTTTTCTTCTAGAAAACAGGACAGTCACAGTATACAAACTTTAGCTCTTCCAGCATCAAAATTACCTCAATTTTTTTACTATCAAGTTATTAGTCATTTTCAAAGTACTTCATTAAAACACATCAGGCTTCCTATGGAGACCAGAAATATTTATTAGGAATATGTGTCAGAAATAGATATTATTACTAACACAAACATCAGATGTGAATAATAAGTAGCTCAATCTTCTCTTAATATCTCCTTGAGTAAAACAGGAAAGCAAACTGCTATCCCACCTGTTTTCTCAAGGAATTCAGTCTGATGGGGAAAGAAAACAGCAAGAAGGTAATTGTAGTAAGATTAGTAAGTTCTCTAATATCTATAAATACAGAATGTCAGCAAAGCAGAAAGGCATTCAACATTATAATACAATAAATAGATACCTGACTCCAAATTGAAATCAAGCTTCCTAAGAATATTTCATGCTGTTAATTAAATGTTTTAATTAACAACAAATTAATTTCATATTGATAATTTAATGTTTTAACTAAATCAGCTACTACTACATAATTATATAACCCTCATTAACACAAATGATAAAACTGGGTTTTTAAGAGAAAGTAATTTGCCCCAAACCACAGGATATTAAATTATGGAACTAAGATTCAAGTCCATGTCTATGACTACAAATCTATATGCTCTTTTACATCTACCCTGTCACCTCTCTAGACAAACAATGGAAAAGACTATAAACTCCCTCTAAGAACCAACTCAAGGCACAACCTTCAAAACATCACCACATTTCCGAAGTATGAATATGTTCATTATACTAATGCAAAGCTGAAACAAAAAAACATATGGGGTGAAAGTACACTGTAAACTGAAAAGGAGTTAGCAATTATAAATTGTTACTATCACTACCATTTAGAAGAAAAAGTTCTACCCTCCATAATCTTTAGTGAGTTCTTACTCAAAATAGTGCTTTAAACAGTTCTCATACCAAGATATTATTCATAACAAACACCAAAAAATCAGTATCTAAGATTGTGCTAGCAATATTAGAGCAATTGTAGGGGAAAAAAGTGAGAATACTAGATCTATTAATGTCCTGCAATAAATAACATTAGCATAATTTGCTTGACTTTAGTCCATCAAAGCATTATGAATTCTTTTTACTACCATGAAGACTATAGAAAGCACCAATGAAGTGGGGGAAAAAAGAAAGGGAAAGAGAGAGGTAGGGTAAGCGGGCCTGGCATCAATATGACCAATTAACAAGTAAAAACCATAGTCTCTTACTAGACAAAGATTTTGTAGTAAAACTGAAATGTATGCCAGCACAGTGGGATATACCTTTAATATCAGCTCTCAGGAAGCTGGAACATAAGTATTGTAAGTTTATGGCCAGCCTGGGGTACATGATGACAGCCTATCTCAAACAACAAAAAATAAATGAATAAAACCACAAAATCCAGAAAATGAGACTACATGACAAAAGGGGGTAAATATAACTTAAAAAAAAAGAAATCTATAATTCGGGTAAAGATTTTCAGAATTATGTATAAAATACTACAACTAAACATTTCATTGATATCCCACTCTTACCCTAACGAGGCTCAAACCAAAAATAGTTGAGAAAGTCTATCATAAAAGTCATTAAGGCTTTCTGAAGTTTTCTCCTTCCTTAAGGATATCAAATAGGGAAAAATACATATCATCATACACAAGTATTTCTCATTATAAACTACAGTGCAGAACTCTAAAAATAACAATATAATTTGAAACTATCCATGGTGATTATATAGTCAAAGGAAGAAATTATGATTGTTCTGTGACCTCTAAAATTTTTGGTCAAAACTTATCAACTCCACCAATAATGATGGTTCAAGGCTGTAACCCCAAAGACTCAGGAGACAGAGACAGAAGGATCATTGATCAAGACAAGTCCGGAAAAAAGTTAGCAAGAACCATCGCAACAATGTGATGTACAAGACACTATGTTGAAAAACGAACTTTACAATTTAGGCAGCAGGGAGGTGGAGGGGGAAGTGTAGTTGTGGAGGTGGAAGGAAAGGGATAGTAGTGAGAAAACAAAGGAGGAGGCAACAATGCTTGATAAGAAATATACTCATTACCTTGCTCATGTAAATGTAACCCCTCTGTACAGTATTTTCACAATTTAAAAAAAACTTATTTTTTTTTTAAAAAAGAAAGAACCCTATCTAAACTGGTACATCCCTGTCATCCCAATACTCAGAAGGTGGTATAAAAGGATTATTGACCAAAGCTGGCCCTGAAAAAAGGCACAAGACCTTATCAGAAAAAGACACTAAATGCAAAGGGATTAGAGGTATGGTTCAAGTGGCAAAGTACTCGCTTAGCAAGTACAAGAACCAGAGTTCAGTCTCCAGTACCACAGGAGGAAAAAATACAATGTTAGTTATAAACATGTACAGGGGAATTTTTAAAAGCAAGACATTGACTGAGTACTCTGCCTCACTGAAAATACTTAGAAGAATTAAAAATTATTTTCCTTGAAATTTTTAATTAATAATGGTTTCCGCCATATTTACTGCCTTCTCATATACAAAATAAGCATCTTTTCTATGTCTTGAATGGTTACTGTCCTTTCTAAGTTTCAAACGGCTTCTAACAGTTTGTCCTTAGCATTTTCAATGTTGTACTCTATCTACAAGAGCTCTTG